AAAAAAAAAAAAAAAAAAAAAAAAAAAGTGGAGGCAAGGAAGCAAGGATAAAAGGAAAAACTTTCATAATTTATTATAACTTTATACTGTTCATATTATATACATTTAATTCTTCCAGACAAAAGCAGAATTAAGACAAAATCATCACATTGGAAGAAATATTCAAAAGTAACCTAGTCAATCTTAATAAGGTTTCCAACTAGACACACTAAACAAGAAAGTCCCTATAATTAGCTACTGCAAAAGAAAGTTCACAGCTTCAGTAAACACTCATAGTCCCAAAAGCATCCATTATCCCCAAAAATTTCAGACCCATGTATCCAATAATTCATTAGGCATCCTACCACAAAACATCTAGAAAAACCTAAACCTTCCGTCTCCTAGGTTCAGGAAAAATCATACTGTTATCCAACTCAGATGTACAAACCAAAAATCTGGCTTTCTAAACTCCTTCTCATCTCAGCCCAGTATCAATTTTTCCAACTTTTGCCAATTCTACTGAAGTCTTTTTCAAATAAATCTTCCTTTCCCCATCTCCACTGACTCTACCCTAGCTGTACCTGACTATACCTAAGTTGCTATCATTAACTCTACTGGTCTGCCGTCTCAAGTGTTGCCCCTTCCCAATCTATTCTCTACATTAGGGTGAGTGTGGTCTTCCTAAACTACAAATTTGATTAAGGCACTCCCTTCTCAAAAGTTTACCACTAGGCCAGGCACAGTGGCTCACACCTGCAATCCTAGCATGTTGGGAGCCCAACGCAGGCAGACTGCTTGAGCTCAGGGGTTCAAGACCAGCCTGGGCAAAATCCAACCTCTATAAAAAATTTTTAAAAATAAACCGGGCAGCCAGACACAGTGGCTCACGCCTGTAATCCCAGAACTTCAGGAGGCTGAGGCAGATGGATCACGGAGGTCAGGAGTTCAAGACCAGCCTGGCCAAGGTGGTGAACACCCTGTGTCTATGAAAAATACAAAAATTAGCCAGGTATAGTGGCGGGTGCCTGTAATCCCAGCTACCTGGGAGGCTGAGGCAGGAGAATGGCTTGAACCTGGGAGGCAGAGGTTGCAGTAAGATGAAATCATGCCACTGCACTCCAGCCTGGGCAACAGAGCAAGACTCTGTCTCATTAATTAATTATTAATTAATTGATTAAGCTTGGCATGCTGGTGTGCACATATAGTCCCAGCTACTTGGGAGGCTGAGGTGGGAGGATCCCTTGAGCCCAAGAAGTTTGAGGCAGCAGTAAGCCTCAGTGATCATGTCACTGGACTCCAGTCTGGGAGTCCTTAACCGGGTTAAGGAATTAACCTATTTAACCAGGTTAAATAGTCCCAACATTCCCTACAGGTTCTCTCTCACACTCCTCATTCTACATACACTCCAAGCAACTGATTTCTTTCAGGTTATTGAACATGCCTCAAACACCCTTCCTTCTTCTCAATAAAGTTTCGGCTTAGATGTCACCAAAAGTCATCTCCAAATCTCCTAGTGAGATTAGGTTATATGTTCCTTCTACAACCCTGTACCTCCTCTTCTGAACTATGCGGGCTTGCTAAATTACATCTGCCCCCATAAACTCTTTGAGAGACATGACATCTTTCAAAGTGCTTGGGAGCACACTCGGTGTATACCTGAATGCATGAATGAATGAACAAAGAAAAGGTAAAAGCTAAGACAACTTTTTGAAGTAATTGAGGCCGAGCACTGTGGCTCACCCCTGTAATCCCAGCACTTTGGGAGGCCAAGATCAAAAATGATTTTATATTGCCCAGACTGGGACTGGTACATGTTTTTAAGATGCATATTTTTAATAGAGATTTCATGTGACTTGATAAAATCACCAAAGAAAGTGAACAGAAGACATGAATCAGCAACTCACAGAAAAAAAATACAAATGATTAATGAGACAGCATGCCACTCTTAATAAACATCAGCAAAAACAGCTCCACAGGGACTCCCAAGCTGCTAATAATAAAGAACAGGTTAATTTAAGGTACAGCAACTCAATGTCATATTACACGTTCATTTTTAGAAGATAACATTTTGATTCCAAATATAAAGTTCAATGAAAAAGGATATACAATATAATCTTAACTACATAAAAGTAAATAAATGCAAAAATTTAAATTTATTTGTTAACTATTTTTTCAAATGCAGCATGCCTTTAGCATTTTTCTCTAAATAAATTAATTTTTTAATACCATTCTTATCCTATNGCAAAAAAAAAAAAAAAAGACCAAAAATAGACAAAAAAATCTGACAGGCTTCCTCTGGGCAGTGAGATTATAAACTATTGTTATTTTTTCATAGTTTTTCTTATCTCAGAAATGGTCTACAATGCACATAGTCTGTTTTTTTTTTTTGAGATGGGAGTTTTGCTCTTGTCATCTAGACTGGACTGCAGTGACATGATCATAGCTCACTGCAGCATCAAACCCTTGCCTCAAGCATTCCTCCCACCTCAGCCTCACATATCTGGGACTCATGCACCCCGCCACCAATCCCAACTAAGTTTTTTATTTTTAGTAGAGAAGCAAGAGGTCCCGCTATGTTGCACATGCTAGTCTCAAGCAGTCTGCCTTTATTATTCAATAATGAACTAAACTCTCAAAGATCATTACAGGAAGTCAGTACAAAAGTCTAAATTTGACGAAACAGAAATGATATATTTCCATCAACTGATGAAAAGATAAACAAAATGTGGTATATACATATGATGAAATATTATTCAGTCTTAAAAAGGAAGGAAATTCTGGCCAGGTGCAGTGGCTCACGCCTGTAATCACAGTACTTTGGGAGGCTGAGGCAGACGAATCACTTCAGGTCAGGAGTTCTAGACCAGCCTGGTCAACATGGTGAAACCCCAACTCTACTAAAAATACAAAAATTAGATGGGCATGGTGGCACATGCCTGCAGTTCCAGCTACTTGAGAGGCTGAGGCAGGAAAATCACTTGAACCCAGGAAGGGGAGGTTGCAGTGAGCCCAGATTGCGCCACAGCCTTCCAGCCTGGGTGACAGAGTGAAACTTTCTCTCCAAAAAAAAAAGGGAAGGAGATTCTGACACAGACCACACATGATGAACCTTAAAGACATTACACAAAGTGAAATAAGCAAAAGGACAGATACTGTCTGATTTCATTCATG